TCCAGGATGGGAGGCTCCCCAAAATCTCCCGAGACAACGGCCCGCCAGCGGTTTGGTCGGTTTCTTGACTGCTCTTGGGTTGGATCTTTAGACAAACTCACTTTTTTGGTTGAAACGGGGTTTTCCACGAAACCCACAAAAAGTGAGTTACTCACTTTTTGCAGGGGTCGTTGCAGCAACAAAGGTTCTTCCTCGGGATCTTTGGGCGTGAGCAACCCCCCGAAGACGCGAGGAGCATGGGGACTCCGACACGGTGCTGGACGTGGCAGCCTGGCAAAAAATCTCTTCGGCGCGCGAGGTCGTTTTCCGCCTTCCGGGCGGGGAAGGTTTCTACTTTGTGGCTCTGCTCTTGGGTCGGATCTTTAGATATTTCCTTTTAACCAGCAAAAAACAGAAAAACTTTTTGCTGGGGAATCTACAGCACCCAAGTTGGGAGCGCCTTTTTGGGTTGGTTTGGATGGAATGCCAAGGGAAATATTGTTTTTAGGTTTTTACCCCTTTTGTGCGTGTCATCAAAAACTGGCGGGTTTGCTGCTGATCCCCCTTAGAATAAGTTCTAAATAAAGGGTAATGCCCTTCACGATGTGGGTGTTACTAGAAAAACCTCGAGAGATACGTTGGTTTCCTGTTGGTTCCATTCAAACATCAAGCTAGGCCATTTGAAGTGACTTTCCGTATGGGTTGGGACATGTTGGGACGCTTTTTCATGGTGAAAGATGCGAACCCCAGTTCCGCTTATCATTTTCCAGGTTGACTTCCACCACGTTGATATTACAGTCATTTGCACCCTCAGTCTCGCGTTTTTTCTTGGGTTTACCCTTTCCTCATGCCCGCGAAAGACAGCCGCCACAGATCACTGCAATGAGTCAAAATTTGTCAAGTATGACGATTAGGGATTGGACATTCAGCTTCATGAGGCGTCAACATCATGCGGCACAACTATGTAGGAGCCGCTTTGAAACTCCACTGCGGAGTAGGTGCAGTGGAATATGTGGTATTTGTGAGGTTGTCCACGATTTCTGGGATTGGTGTTCCCATGAGCTGAACATATTTCCGAACCATCCACAGAGATTCCCTAAAAAGGAGCTCCGTTGAAAAGGTGGGTGTTCCTAACAAGATCCTCCCAGTAGTGCCCTCTTCCCTTTTCTGAGGGAGGGTTCCCCTACTAAAATAGACCACAGAAAAAAAGTTGGGACCCTTTTTCTAACCTCTCCACTGGACCTAGTTACACACATCTCCGGTGCCAGTCTTCGAGACGTGGGCTGAACAGGTTTCAACCCCCCAGCCTGGGCTCGAGGTGAGAGCCCTGAAGCAGGGCCTGCTGCCAGAAGTGAAGCAGTAGACCGCGGCAAACTGCTGCGAAAATGAGAGAAGCGCGGCGGTTTCGGGGGGGAACCCCAGAGGTTTCTTATTGCAGGTTTCTTGTTGCAGGCTTGGCCCATTTTTGGGTCTACCGGTCCAAGTGGCGGGTGTCTCAGAAGATATGGCGCGCGTTGCTCAGAAGGCTCAGCTGAAGTGCTTGTGGGCCAAAAGGCTTTTGCCACTTAACCCCCAACCCCTCCTCCCCCCCCACCGGCAAGCTGCAAGCTGGACGCAGGAGCACACTGAACCCGGTTGTTCTTTTGGATCCGGCCATGTCGGAGAAACCGCTGTCAAGAGAGAGCAAGGACTGGGGCGCGATTTTCCTGGACCCCTCCATCACTTATACTGTCGCTGTGCTCGGCCTTGTTGGTTCATGTTGAAGAGAAATCGAGATGAAACCACGCCATCTAAAGGGCCCCAAGTGTGGAGCGTGTTTCAGCGCGGGTTGAGGCCGAGCTAGGCATGGCACCGGAAGCGCAAATGAGGTCTGTTAGAACCCCCAGCTAGTATAGATACGCAAAACTTCATATGTTGTTGGCTGGTTGGCTGATGTGTTCTGGTCGGCATCTTCCAACGGAGGTTAGCAGACCTGTCTACCAATTCGAACATTTGAAACCCTTGCCGAAATACCCTCACACCCTCAAGCCCTCAAACCCTCAGACCCTCAGACCAAGCCCTCAAACCCTCTCAGACCCTCAAGCCCTCAAACCCTCAGACCCTCAAGCCCTATCAAGCCCTCAAACCCTCACCTGAAAGATCCTTTGAGTCTAAAAATAGCCTCGGATGCGATTTAGACTCCTACAAGAATTTAGACTCAAAATGAGTCTAAATAAGGCGAGGCTAAATTTATGTTGAAACATTATTTAGCCTCAAATTAGCTTCAATTTAGTCTCAATTTTATGTCAATTGTCCATAGATTTTTGCTTGGAACCAACACTGCCAACTATTCGTTACTGCAAGGGAATCCGCACAAGCGCGCGCAAAAAATGGTATAAGTACAAGAGGGAAGCTTCGCAAAACATGACACTTGCCGGCAAGGACAACATCACACACCACAGGTCAAAGTCCACAAAGCCCAACACACAAGCAGCACAAGTACATGTAAGTCAGTAAACAAGCATCAACTGCAGCTGGTTCATCGCACAAGCTGCTGATTCAAGGATGCCACAGTTTGAATACTTATATACAGCACATGCTATCAGTCTACATCCTCCAGCTTCTCAGTATCCAACTCCGCTGCCGCCTCCCTGGAAGCAATGCGGCCCAACTCCGCACACGCTTCATCCGCACACGTGTTCATGGCCCAGAAAAGGCTTGTACGTGTAGAGGACAAGTATATATATGGAAAAAACCCACACAGCTGCGGCAAGCACGCAGGCGTTTGTGGCACACAACTTGGAGTTCGTGTAGCACAAGTACAAGCCTCACAGTACAAAAGATGCATGCGGCGCAAGTGTCCTGTGTACAATCCAATGGCTGCGCGCAGGGCAAGTGTACAAAAAGGCAGAGAACTGTTGCACACAAGTTTGTACCTCTGTGACAGCTTGTACTTTGCAGCTCTTGCTTGCTTTGCGGCCTGTGACAAAAACAGTGTCTGGGCTTTCTAAACTTTGGGCCGTGGTTCCTATATACAATGGGTGTGCGTCGCAAAATCTCTGACAATTTTCTCAAGCTCTCACACTTCAGGGCTTCGCAGCCACACATCCTCCCGCCACGCTGCGCATATAAACAAACACGAGAGAAACACAAATAATGGCGCGCTTGCTGCGCTGTTCTATGCAAAAACAAGTGGTGCAACAAGGTGTTTATATGCATTTGCGTGATTTAGACTCGTAGTTTAGACGCGCTATTTAGACTACAAATTTAGACTCGGCGCAGCTTTGTAGTCTAAATTTCCGCGAGGCTATTTTTAGACTCAAAGGATCTTTCAGGCAGACCCTCAAGCCCTCAAACCTTCAGACCCTCAGACCCTCAAACCCTCAGACCCTCAGCGAAGCGCCAGGACAAGGCCGGGTACCCTTGGCTGCTGCTGCTTTCCATCGCAGCGCTGCCTGTGTCGCTGTGGCCCCTTGGCCTTGAGCAGCGATTTGCTCGAGGTCTCGGTGTTGGCGAACGGCGGTTAGGCCCCGACGAACGCGAAATCGGATTTCTACCTAGACTCTCCATGACCCTATAACAAATGGGTCCATGACCCCATGATTTTGTGTAACCCCATTTTTTGAGGGTTAGAAGGAGACTCGAGGTAGTCGCGGGGTTCAGACCCTTAAGCTCTTCTTCTCTTTTTGCTTGGTGGGTCCCTCACCAAAGAATAAGCCCCGCGAAGGGTGGAACCCTGGTCGACTCACGCAGGGGATCTCTTGGGAGCCAGGAACCTTCCTTGGAGGACTCCGGGACCCCTGAGGTGCCGTCGGCAGATTCGTAGTAAACAGCCAAGAGGTGGTGCATATCGGTAATAGAGTTTGGCTCCTATTTTGATACTCGGGCATTAAAAAGGGGACCCCGAAATGAAGCTGATCTCAATTTCCCCTGCCAAACGTGGAAGTGCACAGATCTCATTTACAAGACTGTTGTCCCGGGTGTTTGTGCCGCTCCATGTCAATTGGGCTAGATTGCCCAAGAGGTAACAAGAGTCACGGGTTCGCTTCCAGCAAAGGACGCTCATTTGTGTGGCGTCCTGGAACCCATTTACAGTTTGAAAGCGGATGCGACAGCTTCCACAACTTCCCCCCTTTTGCTTTAGTCACGGCCTTCACTTCCCCACATAAACTCAGTTGTTCAGTGGCACCCTTTTCCCCGTTTTTTTTCTTCTTTTTTCCCTTTTTTTTTTCTTTTCGGTGGCTGCCCCACTAAAAATGGTCTTCCCTAATTCCAGGGTCACTGAACAACTCCAAACCTTGTTCTGTTCGGATCCCTCTCTGCCTCAAGCACTGCCTGAGGTTGCACCGCCCGCAAGAGGAAGCCGAAGTCGCGGGAGCACTCGGGCAGTTCTCGGCAGGTGTGTTCAAGCTGTTTGTCGCTTGGAACCCATCCTTTAAGGCCTGGAATACATAGCTTCGGCTGGGCCCCATCCTTTCCTGACTGCTCTTGGGTTGGATCTTTAGACTTTAACTTATTTTTTTTGAAGAGGTTTTCCACTAAACCCACCAAAAGTGAAACTCACTTTTTGCAGAGGTCTCGCCAGCAACGAAGCTTTGGGGCAGTAGAATACCTAGCTTCAGCTGGGCCCCAGGGCTTCAACTCTTGGAATACAAAAACAAAGCTTCCATTTGCAGGGCTCCTTAAAAGAATTGCATGTTGCCTTTCCGTTTGTGGCTTTTTTCAACAGCAAAATTAAGGTTGGAAACAACACCATTGACAAGTTGCAATGTTCAGGTGTATAATGTAAGGATCCCTGATTTGGTGAATAAGATTTCTTATTTTCCACTGGTTTCAAAGGGAATCTATCACTACTGGACATGTTTTATTTATTTTTTCCCGGGGACTTAAGCAAATGGAGGAAAGCCTGAGGAAACGCAAGTTGTAAAGCAGATTTCGGCCTCGATTTGGACCCGGCGGACAGAAACACATGCCGCCGTTAAATTGACCCCCCTAGTTTGACGCCCCATTTAGGTTCCCTTTTAAACCACAAGCAAATGGGTAGTGACCAACTCCAAAAAAGACGAGCCGCCTTGGCTAAAGATCAAATTCCCTCCAAAGCGTCCATAGCTGTACAGAGTAACCCCAATCGATGGTCCTTTGGCATTGAGTGAACCCAATGAACAGCTGCTATTTAGGAGCTCTTCTTCAGGTTTGCAAAGTGACCAAACGCGATTCCGGCAGAACATCCGTGTCGCTGCGAGAAAGATTCCCTGCATAGTGGGGAAAAAAAAAGGTGGGCTCTCAGACTTAGGCGCCAATATCAGAACACGACCCCATGATGTGAATTTGCGACTGAGGTCTGCCAGAGCTCGATCAAACCTAATCAGGACCTCCCTTTTGTTTGAATGAACCCACATGACATTTGCTAAGGTTCTTCTCCATTCCTTTTTGTCTTAGAGACTGAATATGGAACAGAGTTAACACTCCAACCTAATATACCCATGGGCAAAATCGAAATCAAACCCGGCCCATGAGCTTTGCATTGGGATCCGCGAGTTGTTACCGGAGGGGTGACACTTGGCTCTCCGCGGGAAACACCTGCGCTTGAAAAACTGGTTGCACGGGGGACGGGGGGGGGGGGGGGCTGGCCCCAAAGCAAGACGCCGTCTGATTTAGTGATCTACGACAAAGGAGATGCGGCACTTGCTTTGCCGAGGGCCCAGGTGCATAAACCCATGTAATCAAAAGGTAGGAGAGAAGCGTTGCCGGGCCGCACTCCACACGTTGCACGATCAAGTGCGTATAGGTAGCCCCAGTGATTCACCTCAGTCTCATTCAGACTTGACAACTGCAACCAAGCCTCATAGGGGTTTGAATGCTCTGACGGCACTTTGCTCGTACGAACGCTGGCTGACGGCTCGAGCTGGACCGATTTTTTGCTTGACGTGCAAGACGCAGCATGCAGCTCGGATGAACTTAGCCGGATGTCTCCAATATGCCCAGACCTCCAGCTGCGCCCATGTTGCTCCATTTTTGGAGGGGGTTCCACTTAGAAATCAGGTACCAAAACAGGCTGCCCTTTTTCCCGCTGGAGGTGGGGGTATTGATATGTGTCAATAGCCGATGTTTGTGAATGCGTGTTTCATGTTGGCTTGAAAGCGAGCAGGGATCCAACTGTCTTTGACACATATCGCATACCCAGATGTCGCTGCGCATGTCCCAAAACAAGAGCTAGACAGCTTGGTTTCTATTTGCTTTCTGTTTCAACACCGTTCCAAACGGGAATTCGAAGAAGGCACACCTAAGTGGAACACCCATTTCAAAGGGGGCCGGTACTTGTTTGAGCAGCCGAGGAATGGGCAGATGCTTTTCTCGTCGCCGCCAGGCGACATTCGGGATGCAAACAAATCCAGCGGGAGGGTTTGCCGTGAGCGACACACTCCAAAAGGTGACATCTAGTGTCCCCATGGTCTCATATTTGCCCCCAGGTGAACTGATCTACGGGTTCGCCTTTTTTGGAGTTGGTACCATTTCTTTGGTGGGTTGAAAGGCAAGCGAAAAGCGCACGTGCCGTTTTGGGGCTCAAAAGTCGCCCTAGCAGACACACCCATGTGGCTCCAAAAGCGAAGCAAGGGCCTGATGCTATGTTGATCTCGATTTCTGGGAGCCGCAGCCAAAGAAATGTTCATCGAGCCAGAGATTGATATATGGGTACCAAGAAGGTGTCCCCTTTTGGTGGGTTGAAAGGGGTTCTTTCCCAAAATTTGATATATATTTTTACCGTTTTGGGGCCATAGCCATCTTACCCCGACTGGTCAACATTCTAGGGTTGATTCCCCCATTCTTTTCAACCATCGTTCTTTTCAAAAGCCAGCTGCTTCCCCCTTTTTTCTTTCTCTTTTCTTTCAACAAACAGAATCTAAAAAAAAATCAAAAAAAAATCCAGGTTTGCTGAAGAGCTCCGGATCCCTGGTTTTTTTTGCTCGGGGAGGCTTCGACTGGCCAAACCGGATGTGTGTCGCCGCAGGGCTGGAGCCGGACCTTGGGGACTTCGCTCCCACGGGCCCCACGGAGGCGGCCGGCGGCCGGCGGCCGGCCGGGGCTGGGCTGTGCGCTGTTTCCTTTTTTTTTGTGGTCGCATCTTTGGGTTTCAGAACCAAACCCCGAAATTTGAAAGAAAGAAATGACATGCCTTCTTCTAGGGGTGGATTCCTTGTCCATTCCTTTGAGCCATCCTCCTTTTCAAGAACCGGCTGTTTCACCTGGGTTTTTGGTGGTTTTCTAGAAAGAAGGATCCCTGGAAAGAATGGGGAAGCTACCCCTAGACATATGGGATGGGTTTAGGTCGGAATGAATATATCATATGTGTTTTTTTTTTTTGAGAGGACAAGATCCCAAAAAGAACCAGCACACGACCAACTCGCCATCCACCGTTGTGGCACCTGGCAAGGAAATGAACCCGTCCCTTCAAGAAATCCGTCCAGGTGGAAGGGCATGATTCGAGCTCCGCCTTCCCATTCTTTCCAGGGATCCTCAGATTTGTTTCGCAAGCCCCCTTTAAAAAGTGAGGGCGCATAAGTTAAAGAGAACGATGACTGTTTCGACTCTGCACTCCAGTGGCGCTGATCGCTTTGTTGGAATGAGTCGTTCTGCCAGATTTTGGCAGTCGGGCAGCCATGGGATCGCGCTTCCAGGGAGTTTCCGGGCCCCAAGGCCTTGGACCAAAGCCTCTTCCGCTGAGCCATGAGCAAATAGATGCCCTTGGAAGTGAGTCGTAGACCTCTGCCGTTCGCAAAGCTATTCGTGCGGATAGGCAAAAAAAACAGGCAAACAGGGTGGAACCCCAACTCATCGAGCTGTTTGTTGGCTTTCGCGGTGATTTGTTCAACAAGAAGGATGTACCTCATTGCCGTGTCATGATCCAGAAAGTCCTAACCTTTAGGCAAATCCCATCTTTTTTGTGTGGGCCGTGACATGTTTTTGTTTTTTGTTCCGCAACATGACCAAGGAAGGCAGTGGTCCCCACAAAATCAACTAGGTCCCCCAGTATTGCCCTTTTACCTTCTTTTTGGGGGAGGGTTCCCATAAAATAGATTACAGAAAAACAGGGGCCCTGATTCTAAGCTCACTGGAGGACCTAGTCAAAGCTGCGCGGCTTTTTTAGGCTTCCAGGTACTTCAAGTGGAAACCCCAGCTTTGGGTTTGTCCCAGCACCAGCTTGCGGGCGATTTTTGGGGGCGGTTTTTGTGCACGACCCAGATGTGGGACTTGCTTTGGTTCTTTTGTTACATGTCCAGGTTTACTGGGTCAAACATAGTCTTCTTGGTCGGGGTGCAAAAGCTGAGGTACTATTTTGTTTTTTACTGATTTATTTATTTATTTATTTATTTATTTATTTGTTTATTTATTCATTCATTCCATTCATTCCATTCATTCCATTCATTCCATTCATTCCATTCATTCCATTCATTCCATTCATTCCATTCATTCCCTTCATTCCCTTCATTCCCTTCATTCCCTTCATTCCCTTCATTCCCTTCATTCCCTTCCTTCCTTCCTTCCTTCCTTCCTTCATTCATTCCATTTCATTTCATTCATTCATTCATTCATTCATTCATCCATTCTATTCCATTCCATTCCATTCCATTCCATTCCATTCCATTGCATTTCCATTCTATTTCCATTCCATTCCATTCCATTCCATTCCATTGCATTTCCATTCTATTTCCATTCCATTCCATTCCATTCCATTCCATTCCATTCCATTCCATTCCATTCCATTCCATTCCATTCCATTCCATTCCATTCCATTCCATTCCATTCCATTCATTCCCTTCATTCTCTTCATTCCATTCATTCCTTCATTCCCTTCATTCCATTCATTCCTTCATTAATTCCTTCATTCATTCATTCATTCATTCATTCATTCATTCATTCATTCATTCATTCATTCATGCATTCATTCATTCATTCATTCATTCATTCATTCATTCATTCATTCATTCATTCATTCATTCATTCATTCATTCATTCATTCATTCATTCATTCATTCATTCATTCATTCATTCATTCATTCATTCATTCATTCATTCATTCATTTGTTATGTGTGTGTGTGTGTTTTTGGCGGGGGGAGGGAGGGTCGAGGCTGCTACATTTTCCGGATTCAACCAAACCCCCCCCCCCCCCGACATCCAACCCCCCCCCCACCCGGTTCTGCAACTGGTGAGGTGAGAGCCGTGACGGCCAAGGCCGGAGCAAGCGGTGTGTAGAAAGTTGGTTTTTCATACGTCGACTACTAGGTCCCCCAGCTAGGTGCCCTTTTACCAACTTTTTGGTTGGGAGGGGTCCCCCACTAAAATAGACTACAGAAAAAAAGGTACCCTTATTCCAACCTCTCTACCGCAGGACCTAGACTAACATGAAACCAGACTGACTTTTCCTGGAAGACCATTGTCCTTTAGAAATGTACCCTCTGGTGGGTTCCATGTTAGTGGACAGGAGGGTAAAGGTTTTCGCACTTGCTTTTTGACCGGCACGAACATTTTGCCAGGGAAGTCCGGCCCTGTAAAAATGCGCAACTTCCTTGTGGTGTCCATTTGCACGTTTACACCAGCCAGAGGACCATGTGGGACACCCCCCACACGTACATCCTGGTTCTAGGTGGAAGCAGGGGCAGTTTGGCCCCCTCGCATAAAGAGGATTCCCTGCATATTCCAAGCAATATTAGGGAACTAACTGCCCTGGAAGTTACTGTGAACTCTAGTTGCTTTGCTTGGACCATTATCGTTTCCTCTTGCTTGGCCAGACATCAGTTCAGATGGTGGTGCAGGATCTGCTTGGGAGTTTGGGATTAACAAACCATGATGAAGAGGGGATGTCCCAACATGATGGGATCTGGTTCACTTTTCAGGGGAAGCACTCCTTCTGAAGCTTCCCGCTGCCATAAAGCCATGCTTGTCAGGAACGGCTAGCCGCACATTGGAGCGCTTAGCGTTTGGCGAGTGCCTTGAGAAAAAGCCGCACCAGATCGAAGGAAGTCACCTGATCGCCATTTAAGCAACTGCCGACATGGTTTCCGCCCCAAAACCGCCGCAATACCCTTTTGGGGGACCCCCGGATTTGAAATCCAGGCTTGTAAGATGTTCTTTTCAACCATTTGGGTTTGTCTCATAGGCTGACTTTCAAATCTGGCGGTTTCCGTTGGGTTTCCACAAGGATGTCTTTCGCACCAATGGGCTCGGTCAGGACTGGGCTCCGGGCTCCGAGCAATTGTTGAGTTGGGTGCGGAATCGAAGCCATCAAAAGCGAGCTGGGTTTAACCACCAAAGCACCGGGCTCCAGACCTCTTAGAGGGAAGCTGAAGAGTCACATTCTCCATCAACCCGAACTGATTTCAGCAGAGGGAACTCCGATTGAATCAATCCCCGAGCTGAAGAGTCACCTTCTCCAACTAGGTCCCCCAGAAGTGCCCTTTTTGGGAGGGTTCCTTACTAAGATAGGCTACAAAGAAAAGGGTTCCCATATTCTGACCTCTCTACTGGGGGAAAAGACCAAAAACCTGCGGTTTGCCCTAGCTCTTGTATTTTTTGAGCCACACCCATCAGGGTTGTGGCGGATCACTCGGGGAGAAACTCACTCCCCACTTCGGAACATGGAAAATCGCCGAGAAATACGGTGGATGGGTTGCAAAATCGTGGAACTATCGCGCCACTGGAAACCATGCTGGAAACCGTGGTTGAAACCAGAATGTCTCAAAAAGAAGCCCCCCCCCCCCCCCGGTTGCTTGTCTCAAAATACCGAGGACTCAAGCAACTGGGGGGGTCACATTCTCCATCAAACTGTTAGTAGAGGGAAATCCGATTGAATCCATCCCCGAGCTGAAGAGTCACATTCTCCAATCTAGGTCTTCGGTTAGAATAAGGGAACCCTTTTTTCTGCAGTCTCTTTTAGTAGGGGAACCCTCCCAACCAACAGAACAGGTGGTAAAAGGGCACTCCTGGGGGACCTAGGCTAACTTAACCAACAAGAACGTCCATATTGCCATAAGAGTTCGAGGCCTTCTTGAGATTAACTCTGCAAACTTAGTGCATGGTAATAGCCAATAGAGGTCCTTGAACTCCAAAAGGCTCGAGGTGTCGGTGTCCAGTTTTCGTTTCCGGGAGGCGCTGGAGGAGAAGCTGAAGGGCCTGGGGCCCCAAGCCTCCCGCGAGGCGATCCTGGAGGCGGCGGGAAGCGGCGGCTTTGGCCGTGGGGTGAAAGAAACGAAACACGGGACCTCGGGGTCTAAGGAATGGGTGGGGTGGGGTGAGGTGGGGTGGGGTGGGTCTAGGTCCCCCAGCAGTGCCCTTCTTTACCAACTTGTTTTTTGGTTGGGAGGGTACCTCTCTACTGGAGGACGCAATTAGGGGTGGTGTGGTGTGGTGTGGGTGGGGTCGGGTGGGGTCGGGTGGGGTCGGGTGGGGTCGGGTGGGGTCGGGTGGGGTCGGGTGGGGTCGGGTGGGGGGTGGGGTGGAGTGGGGCAAAGGCACAGTGCCAGATCAACGCAACAATCACAAATGTGAAAGTGTCTCACTCTATCTGGAGGGGCACACACACACACACATGCCATATTGGTGAACGCCTGTGAAGATATGCTAGGCGGGGGAACGCCAGAGACGAATCCCCGGACCAATGAACCCGGTTTAATAGGGGGCTGCCGCATTTAAGAGGACATGGCCGCCGCATTTAAGAGGACATGGCCGCCGGCACTGCGTGGCTCCTGTGTTTTTTCTCCGCAGCCAGCGTGACAAAGCTCGCAAGTAGTTCAACGCCTCGCCTGAACATGGAGTCGCTGTCCAACCTCTCGCAGAAGAAGCAGATCCAGCTGGAGAGTGCCAAGGCCCAGCCCATCCAAATCACCCGCGAGGCCCGAGCCTGGGTCGGGACTTGCTTTTTTTGTCAAAAGCTTGACAAAGATTTGCACATCAAAGCGACATCGGCTTTCTTGGGAGGCCGAAAGAGGGAGAAGGAAACTCGCTCCAGCCTTGAATCACTCCAAATCCACAAGGCACCCTCAGGGTAGTTTTTTCTTTTGGTGCTCTTTGGGGCTTCCTTTTGGGCACCTAGCAAGCATGGACTCCCATTTTGACAGGCACACGTACAAAAACACATAGCCTAAGAAAGCCCAGCGAGGTGCGGCGGCTCAAGGTGGCCTGCGTCTCGGTCCCGGAAGCAGGGCATCTGGTGCCCACCGTGGAGGCGCCGCCGTGACCGCCCTGACCACTACGACCCTTCCACCGGTGTTGGGTGTTGCGGGTGTCGAGCAACTGGGTCACGGAAGAAAAGAATCCAGCCCGTTGAAAAACAATGGGACAAGCGGACCCCCTTCTACTGCTGGTGCTGCTACTACTACTACGACTAGATAGTATTAATAAGACTAATACGTATAATAATAACAATAATAATAATAATAATAATGATAATAATAATAATAATAATAATAATAATAATAATAATAATAATAATAATAATAATAATAATAATAATAATAGTAATCACAATAGACATACTGTGCATGGACAAAATCCTGCACCTCTTGAAAACCATGATGAAATGATTGTTTGTCGGCATTTACAGGGGAATCGGTGCCTAAGAGGATTTCGTCCATCCACAGTAGTAAGAATACAATCACACGACTCGTAAATAACCACCGAGGGGTTGGTAGGGAACGACACTAGGCCCCAGCTGGCAAAGGACACGAGTTCCATGAGCCACAATAAACACTTGGGTAGATGAAGGTTAGTAAAGGGACAATCCCAGCCATAAATAGTTGCGGCCGCCTTCGTATTTCCTTACATGGTTCTGGGTCAACCATTTTAATACCGGGTTTTGATTGTGACTCGCATGTCTTGGGCAGTCCCCGATAGGTTCTATTTTTGGGGGTTCGCTCTTGGTACCCTCTTGGGAGGTTAGGGGAATCCCAGGAAATGTTCACCCTTTTTTTCTCAGTGCCCTCGTGTTTCTCTTGTTTAAAGGGAATCCCAAAGGAGTTGACCATCGATGTGGTCAGTGCTTTTATTGTTTGGGGCTTGGTTCTCTTTTGCGGGTGGTTGGACAGGAAGCCAAAAGGACCCCCTTGCTTGGTTCCAGTTGTTCACCTCTCCCTCTACCGATGCAATCTACGCCAAAAAAGGCTCCACTTCTTTCTCTACCGTTGAGGTCAGTGGGCAACTGGAATCCTCAGGATATTCGGTGAACGTATCCGGATTTGGCTGTGGCTCAAACAACCGGTACCCAAAATGGAAGCCTGGTAAGGGGAAACATGGACCAAAACGTGCGTAACCCCTCCTGTTTAATTTTGAGCCACACCCATTTGTCTGTTCTCCACTTGGTTTTAGGGAAATGTGGGGACTCACCAACTCGATTCCCAACCTTGAAACGCCACCGCAAAGGTAATTCACAATCAACTGGCCCAAATGATGATGCTCGAAACCCCGAAAGTCCACTGCTCTGCAAAAAGCGGCTCGCTCTTAGGCATGAGGCACATGTGCCTCAGTTCTCTAGTTGCAGCCATGCGAGGGTCCAACACTAGCTTCTCTTTGGAGGCCTTCCATTGGTGTGTGACGACCTGCATTCGGACAGTACTTTCACGTCAGCATTTTTGTTTGTGCTGGCGCGTGCATAAACGCCATGGCATAAACGCCACTGGTCCAGATTGAAGGAGCTGTTCCAGGCTTGTTTTGAGATTTTCTAAGACTCCACAGAATGCAGCTGAGTTTGCATTGCTCCGAGCAAGCAAGTACAAGCGCCAAACTGATTTTGCCTTGTCCCGCAGCTTTTGCTCTTCGCTTTCAAGACGAGGTTTGAGCGTGACAATGGAAAAGTAGAAAGTGAGCCACTAGGCAAGTATAGTAGTTATTGATGCAACACGTTCAGGCAATAGTATACATATATATATATATATATATGTATTTAATATTTGTCACCTTGCTTCGTCGACTGTTTGGTCTCGCAGATCCAATGCTGTGCCCGCTCAAGGCCCAACACCTATGTTCAAAGTACCTGCTTAGGCAGATCGCAAAGACGACGCATCTATTTGTGCAGTGCACCATCAAAGAAGCGCTTTGGAAGATGCCGACTTGAATGTCCGGTTTGTCACGTCTGTGACAGCAGTTTGGAATTCGTGCGGAAGACGCATTAAGCAAAACAAGCAGATATGCAAAGCACTAAACTTCGGAAAGCATTGGTTTGGACTCGGCGAGTAAGATTGGTCTTTGGTGGAACCTTAGCCCCTGGTCGCGGAGATCTTTTGGACATAAGATGCCTTTTTCGCATGCCCCTCAGACCTGTACGACCTGCCCAGCCACATTGGCGATTCGGATGGATTGCAGCCTAAGGACATGTCACGATGATTTGAGGATCGATATCTCGGGGTTTCCCCTGGGGCGCGGGTTGTCTTTCGATCGGCCCTTCGGAATCGACGCCTCTGCTCGGTTCAGGTGGCGAAGGCCTTGGCGCAGCGGGGCCACGAGACAGTGCTGTTGACGCTGGAGGGGGGAGGTTGGGGCGGCTGGTTGCGGTTTTCTTGGCTTGGGGGGGTGGCTGCTGGGGAAGGCTGGGGGGAAGGTGCGGAGAGAAGGTTGGGCCATGTTGGGCCTTTTCGTACAGTACTGATGGGACCCACGATCCTTTAGGCTGGGCGCATGCCAACTCGCAAGGGCAACAAGAAACTCCACTCCCAGAAAGGAATCGTTGCCGAAGGGAAGGCTTCTCCTTTGGCCCTTGCCTTTTTTCGGGCATTTCCACCATTTCCCCCTTCAACCAGCAAGAAGTTGAAATTTGAGGTTGTTTGGCCCGGCAATCTCAGGTATCGGCTTTGTTCGGATTTTTTTGTGGACGGCTAGGCCCGCGAAGCATTGTAGCCAGGGATCTACAAGCTGGCCAAATACCCGCCAAAACACCGGGTTTCCTGCAGAGTTTCCCGTAGCTTTCTCGGAGACGCATTTGGCTAACTCGCCCTACAAGGACAGCGCGGCGCCTAAGTTCGCCAAGAGCTGTGAGGCGCCTCCGGTGCTTGATGATTTTTCGGTATCCCCGCAAAGCATAGGTGAAGGTGCCCCTGGAATGACGACTCAGATATATGTGTCATTTGTTTGATCCCATGAAAAGGGAATGCCATAGAACTGCCACGGCCCGGGCCCCCATGGATGCGTCATGTTTTTTTTTGGGAAGCCGTTTTTGGTTGGTTTCAAGGAACCCAATGGAAACCCAACCGTTTTAGACATTGCAGTGAACTATTTCGAGAAGCACATTCAAACTGTAGATGGACGAAATCCAGCACCACCTAAGAAACCCTGGAATTGATGATTCTACCACGGCTTCCTTTGGTGCGTTTTATGATTTCGCGTCCATCCCCCATGTTGGCTTCCTGGTGCTCAGCAGGGAATGAGAAATGGAAGGACCCCTTTCTAAACCATCCAACTGGTGGTTTCCTTTGAGGGGACCAAAGCCTGGTTTCGTTCCCACATTCCCTATCGCACCTTAGTTGTTCAGTGGCACCAATTCTTTTTCCCTTTTTCTTTGGTGGCTGCCCCACTAAAAATTGTCTTCTCCCAAAAAAGGGGTCCCTTCTTTTTCCAATGTCACTGAACAACTGAGGCGCCCATCGCAGTTTTCAAACAGAAAGGTCCACTTGTCATTTTCCCCGACCAGCGGCCGAGCGGAAGATGCCAGGCCTTTTGGCTTCAAGGGTTGGCTCGTCTAATCCACCGGAGGGATTGCACACCATTCTAGGCTAAATTCTAGGGGTTCTTTCCCCATTCTTTTCAACCATCGTTCTCTTTTCAAAAGCCAGCTGCTTCCCTTGGGGTTCTGATGGTTTTCTGGAAAGAAGCATTCCTGGAAAGAATGGGGAAGTGTCGTCTAGAACCATGAATTAGTGCATGAATGACACCGTTCAACAAAACTCAACATGCCACAAATCCCCCAAACAAAAAAAGGTTGCCCGAAGGCTCCCGATAGTTTTGGGGGTCTCAACATGGGTTGTTTTCATGGGCGTTGGGGGGGACCGGGTTCTTCATTAGAGGGCCCGGGGGCCTGCGTTGTAGGGGTCATGAGCCTTAGGGTGGCTCGTCTTTTTTGGGGGTTGACACATTCATGCGTTCCAACACTGGTTCACAGACAGATGGGTGTGTCTTTTCTTTGGGGATGTTTCGGGGCAATAATGGGGACCACCCCAAAATCCTATTGGTCCTTGTGGTTTCCCATTGAACAAGCAAAAAGGGTACCCTCAACTCTCCTTTTTGACATTCTTGCCAGGGATCCCCATTCTTTCCAGAGATCCTTCTTTTCAGCAAACCTCACAAGACAAGAAAAAACAGGGAAACAGATCTGGGTTTTGTTAAAAGAACGACGGGTTGAAAAGAATGGACAAGGAATCAACCCCTAGATTCAGCTGTTCAACATCCAAGGGACATTTGAGGCCTTTGTTAGGCTCCCAAATCGCAGGAAAGAAAGAACCATTGAAGACACTTCCCTGGAGTTCTCTCTTTTTAACCGGGAAACGCCGTTCCCGGAGGCTCCGTTCGACTCCCAGCCGGAGCCGGAAGTTCGTTCGGCAGGCGGCGGGCTGCCGCTTCGTGGGCCTCGCGCCGGAGTTGCCGGGCTCGGATGCGGGCCACGGGCCGGTGGCGGAGCTGATGTCCCGAGGCGAAGTGATGCGAAGATGGCGGAAGTTGGGGTGGGTGGTTTGGGGTTTGGTGTTTGGTCTTTGGGGTTTGGTGTTTTGGGTTCAAAGACTGCGAGACGTAGATGCTTCGATCTCAATCCCAGCCACTACCACGCGCCAGCATCAACGCACGCGCGAGGCGATAAACAAAAAACGACTTAGCCGAGGCAAAAGCGGAAAGCAGTGCGTCGCGAGCAGCGGGTCGCCGACAGCAAGCAGCGCCCGGCAAGCAAAATGCAGAAAGCAAGAGGTGGCGAGGAATGAGTAGGACTAGGAAATAGCGCGTGAAGCGAATAGCAAACAGCGAAAAGCAAACAGAAGGCGGCCAACGCAGCAATCAGAAAGCAGCAGGTAGCGCGCAGCGAGCAGCAAGCAGCGAGTTGCAAGCGGCAGCAGCAAGCGGCAATCAGCAACTAGCGAGCGACCTTCGCGCGCAAAAAACAACTTCTTGACGCAAGCCGGAAAGGAAAGAGCGACCTCAGGCAAAAGCTGGCAAGCCCCAGGCCGCGACTTTTTGTGGGGTTTGCTCTTGGAGTCGCGCCGCGGAGCTGAATGGTTGGCGTTGATTGGGCTTGCAACTCGTTTTGCTGCGCTTGGGTTGCTCGCAACAAACAAGAAGCACGCTCAGAGCTTAATTTATAGAAAGTTGAAAAGGAAATCCGAGGTGGAAGGTTGAGCCGCGCGCGAGCGCAGAGTGAGAGAGAAGCAATCCCATTGGCTTGAACGATTTCGAGTTCGCATTTAGCGCACTCTGGAGCAAATCCCCTTTGGGTCGGCAACAACCCCACCCCCCAGTCCTCCCCCTCCAACCGGCCGAGAGCTTCCTTTCTTCATTTGCACCAATTCCATCGAGCGCACATGTGGGGAAACCGAGCTGCACAACCACGAGACAACTTTCAGATGTCCCTTGGTTTCTTTCCCTTTTTCATTTGTATCTTCCCATGTCGCATGTTAACCTTTTTTCTCCAACCGAAGGCCCCAAATCTTCCTTTGTCTTTCTTCTCCAAAGAAACAAACGCCCCAGCAATGGCTCCCACCCCTCCATGCGCTCCGTATGCGACATCCCATGCAACCGCCGGGATCCATGGAAACCGCGTCCATTTTCATGTGCACGCGGTCCATGCGGCGTAGGCCTGGTGTCCACGGCCATGGCCCACGTGAGCGCCGCCATGCGCCCAGAGCTGCTCGCTTGGCTCAAGGCCGAGCGCCCGGATGTGGTGCTGGCAGACTTCACCACCCACGTGGCCGTACAGGTGGCGGAGGCGCGGAAAAGGGAGAACACCTAGAAGACGGCCGAAAGCATTTTCCATGACGCAGCCTGAATCGGTCCATTTTTCCAACTATGTATTTCACTGTCTACTCTGCGCATGCCTCTATGCATCTCACTGTCTACTTTCCCTGCGCATGCATCTATGCACTTTGCTCTGTACTTGCCTTATGCATGCCTCTATGCATTCGACTGTTAACTTTCTCTGTGCATGCCTCTATGCATTCGACTGTCTACTTTTTTTCTGCATGCATCTATGCACTTCACGCTGTACTTGCCCTACGCATGCCTCTATGCATTTCATTGTCTACTTTCCCTGCACATGCCTCTATGCATTCCACTGTCTACTTTCCCTGCGCATGCCTTTCTGCATTTCACTGTCTACTTTCCCTGTGCATGCCTCTACGCATTTCACTCTGTACTTGCACCATGCATGCCTCTATGCATTTCACTGTCTTCTTCCCCCGTGCATGCCTCCATGCACTTCACTTTGTACTTGCCCTGTGCATTGAATTTCCATGACTTTTTCCAGCTTTGGAGGGGAGAACCAAATTTGGGATGGACTTGACAAGGAGCTGGGCATCCCGACGCTCCTGAATGTGCCAGGAGCGGAATTGGTCCCTGGTCCAGCCTACAGAAAGACCGGCGTGGCCAGTATTCCTTGATCCCATTGCTTAATTCAGGTTACCGTGAATTTAGTGGTTGGGTTTCCGTATTTAACCTGGATCAACTTTTAGCAGGGGATCTGAAGATAGCCACGAAAGGAGAACTAAACACAGTTACTGTGGATGGACGAAATCCTGCATCGCTTGGAAACCATGGGAAACCATTGTTGGTTGGTATTCACAGGGGAATCATCAGAAACCAGGGCTTCTCAGGTGGTGCCTAAGAGGATTTCGTCCATCCACAGTATGGAGGGGGGGCAATTGCATTGTTCCTTGCCCTCGCGGGTGTTGGAGGCTGCTCCGCTTCTATCCCGAATACCCATCCCCACCCCCTCGCCCTCAAAGTGCAGGAGGATCCTTTTGCTTTTTGTGCCATTTTCTTTCAGCATCTCAAGAGAGTCTATTCTTTGTGGCTGCAACTGTGGATGTACCGTGGTTGCTTGTTGTCGAGGAACGCAGACAGGGACGAGATCAACCGTTGGTAACCACTAATATAACTGGCAGTCCTTTTTCTATCAGCATCATCAAGCAACGAGGGATGTTGATTAGTTCCTATCGACTGCTGCCAGGTTTTGGGGTGTTTCGCCCGGTTGGCAGACCTTCGGCCTGCTTGGATTGGTTTCGGAACCGTGCGCCGGAGAGAGTTCTGATTGTCGACGCCGGATGAACAAGCTGGTGGATTGATAGGGGATACGTCCAATGAAGGATCCCCTTCATGGGTTTGAACCAACCCCCGGGATTTTTTGGGAAGACCGTGTCGGTTGAGCCTTCTCTCCAACAACTCGAAAAATCGAGGATTTCGGGGCCCGAGCCATCCCGATTTATAATCAGTCAGGTGTTTAAGGGAATAGTGAGACAACTTCCAGTTGCTTACCCAGTTGCCCGGCGGCGCCCTTTTTCTTTTCGTTGCCACCAGTGGCCTCCGCACTTCTTTCGAGACCTTTTTTTCTCATGGCCCTGGGCATCTGAGCTTAAGAATACTTGTGTGTGTTTTTTGTTTTTTCCCTGGCTTTAAAGGGAATCTGTCACTGCCGACTCGCTGATCAAGGGCAAAGTTGTATCTTGAGAAGTCCAATCCTGCTGGAGAGGGTAATAGTTGTATTGACACATCCAGTACAATGAACCACGGCCAAAGTCGTGATTTGACAAATGCAATCAAGTTCAACAAGAGGAAGGCTTATGTTGTGGGGGTTAGCCCTAGGTTGATAACATCTCGTCTTGACCATTCCCAATGGCCAGTGTCGAGAAGAGGCGACGAATGCCAGACATGCCAAGTGGCCTTTAGCTTTGTTTTCCCGGCTGCAGACCTTGGACATCTCGGCCTCCGAATCAGCTGAAAGCTGGAGGGGTCGGCGAACTTAAGCTTATGGCACCCCAAAAGCTGATGTGCGCTCCATGTTTTTGTGTAGGGTGCAACAAGCATGTCCAACTTCATCGGGATTATGCATGAAGCGATTGCCGCCCTACCCATTAAATGTCGACACGTTGTGATCAAGCACCGTCAGTAACTTCCTCTTTCTTTTCGGGGGGGCAAGAGTCAGTTTGGTCCTTCATGAAAATGCTCCCTCCCCAAAGCACATCGCCCAACAATTCCAGTGTCCAGTGTTGGTCTGTTTTGGTCTTAATTAAGGTGGTTTGTTTGGGCTTCCACCACTTTTCGGGGGCTTGAGGACCCTTGGGGATCTTCAAGTATCTGGACATGCTCTTTGCGCTGCCCTTCTGCTTCAAAATCTTCCTTACCCGCCGCAACTTCCAGGCGCGCGGAAACACGTGAGGCCAACTCTGCGCTTTGGAGACAAACAGCTAATTGTTCCCTCTGGCGACTTTCAAGCAACTGTTTTTTTTGTCCCGGTGATTTGGCGCCAGTGATGCGGGCGTCCTAGGAGCTGGATGATGCTTCCGCTTCCCCAACTCATGTCCTGCACTGGACTTCAAGCACATTTTCCGGGACCAAATTTCGGTGGCAAGCCGCATCCAAGTTCGGGATCCACTGGGGGAAAAGCCAGCGAGATATGGCGAGTGTTAATGGTTGGCATTCCCCCTGAAAAGTGGGTTGGTGGACATGGCTCGGTCACCTAAATGATGTTGACAGGATCCCGAAGTAAAACTCATATATGCTTTAACTTTGGCCCCATTGGCCCCCCTTGACAGGAAAGCTTGAAAGGGAGTGGAAAACTGAAGGCGGTTTCTTTGGACAAAGCTGGTTGAAGCAAGGTTGCTTGGGCATGTTGGGCCGCAGGTGGTCTAAAGGAGCGGGTGAGCTGCATTATTATCCTCTTGAAATGTAAAAAAGAGACAAAAAACGCTGGCTGTCGGTTGAATGGGCTCTGGTTTATTTTCACGTATGGGGCATCTGGCCATGCTGGGTGAAGCGCCAGCCCCGAAGTGTCATTTGTTCAGCTTCCCTCCATACTTGGGGGGGTCGGTCTCTTTCTTAAAGACTCAGTACAGCAATTCGAAGTTTTTCGGCGATTTGGATTGGTGGTTTGCAGGAAATCGGGGTGGGCCCTCACCATCTATGAATGGGACTTTGGGATGGGACTCCCATCTTAAAGACGACAATACCTCCCGGCCCAAAAGCGTCACAGTGATACTAATGTGGAGTTTATTTGTTGGGGAACACCCCCCCATAGCAAGAAACAGGGGTCGATGAATCTGGGGTCAACATTACGTTGGGCTGTTCAATTGAAGGTTGGCACTGTGGACACCCTTTTGTTTAGAACAATCATAAAAGATTAAATTATGATCAATACATTTGGCCAACTTGTCGAACTGCAAAACTCAAACTCAAGCCATCAGTCAATCCCTCGCTCTCCTTTTCCAGGGTACCTGATGATGGCTTGGGACATCCCAAACTGGGGCCTTGGGTGGTGCCTTATTTTGCAGGAGACCCGGCTCGTATACCGCATGTTCACACGGCTTGTGCCGATGCTCAAGAGCTGCTCGTTAAAAAGAAGTTCGAGCGACAGCAAATCAGCCTGGAGGATCCCTCGTGACGTCGTGGGAAAACCAACACAAAGACCAATTTTGGGTTGGTATAAAAAGGGAAACTAACAGGACAGCCATCATTTCGGGGATGACATATCCAAAAGAAGCGTTGTCAAGACCAGGAGCCCTGGGCCAACAGCCGAAAGCGCACGTTCTAAACCAGTGGTTTAAACATTGGGGAGTGGCCATAAAATTAGGGGCCCGTTTTGGCAGTACTCCAAAAGATTCGGCGCCGCCGACACAGGAACCATCCACCCGTAACATCCCCAGCGCTTGTGACACCCTTTGTTTCTTGTCGCTGGTCATATTGTAGAAAATGAGTGGGGTCTTTTGAGAGCCTCTGAGCCGTCTTAAATGATTGCGGTTTCTGGGCCTCGTTTCAGCGGTTTGTCACCCTGCTCCTTTCTTGTTTAACGTCACCTTGCTCTTTCTTGTTTAACGTTGGGCATCTTCTGAACAATGAGCAGGGTCTTCCGAAAGCTTCCAAGCGGTCTCTGAAGGGGATACCGGACGTGATGCCAAGCCACAAGGATGTTTTTTTCCATCCGCCCTCCTTAGCCAACACAAGTTGAACTGGCTGGAGTTTGGTTCTCTCAGGTATATATGAGCCCTCATATATATATATATATATACATGTAGGACCCCTCCCACTACCAAGGTGACTTCCAGCAACCAGTTGAAAGTTTATGAACTCATTGCTGTTGTTCTTTTGTGAATAGTACCAGAGCGACATGTATGTTCTGTAACAGATTCACGTGGTGGCCACGTTTGGCTCAAGTCACAAGTTCTCTAACGTAATCCATAGCGGGGTGTAGAGGATCGCGAAATGATTCAAGAGAGCAGAAAAATAGTATAGCGGGCTGATTGCGTTGCTGCGATTCCTATTCAGAACTCTTGCACCAGCGTTACAGGACAGCACAACCATTCCTGTTGGGACACACTGCTGTTTCCCCCCGTTTTCAACATGACAACGTGCAACCAAAATCTTTAACTCGCAACACATGCGCAACAGCAAACTTCTGACCCAAAAAGCATGCGCAACAACAAAAGGCTTACCCAAACAAACCGGGTATCAGGGGGCGAGGGGGGGTAGTGTGCTCACCCTTTTGCCTTTAGAATAAGAGGTTTTGCATAGTTGGTGTGTGGAAAGGTACGTGGGCCACTTTGCAGGGCCTACCTCCCACCATTCTAGTTGGAAAGTGTCATGTCTACTCTGCACTTCTCTTTTCTCCACATGACTAAAAGCACTGCAACATACGGTGTTGCTCATGATTTGTTATTTTGTTTAACTTATGGTAGCAGGTGTTGCGTCTTTTGAATCATATGGCCAGAGACGGCACACTAAGCAACACTCTCACATTCATGTCCAAAACAGTCTCAAATGGTTGCCATACCAAATATGCTAACCAAATGGTTGCCATACCAAATATGGTTTGGTGAAACCCTGCCTTTGTGAACTAACCTTTCTGAAATGCCAAAGTGGGCCTGCTCGGACAACTGCACAAGCCCAAGAAACAGAACCTCCAGAAGATGAAAGCTCCGAAGCCTGCGCAGGCCCAAGAAGAACAATACAGAAACTCCAGCCCCAACAAGGTCCATAGTGTAAACAACAAGAACAAAAAGAGCAATGCGAAGCCTATTGCGAAAGGAATACGAATTCAAAGTTGACATTCTGATTGAAACCGACATTTAACTTGGAAAGGAGCCCATTTTCAAGCTCCAGTTTAAAGTCTAAATTCCGGTTGAACTGGTTTTGCTATCAAAACAAGTACCATTATTTGTTTAAGCCACAATTAATCTAATTACATTTGGGCATGGATTCCTAATTGAAATTCCATTCACAGGCCAAGTGAACTATTTCTTTAACTCCGATTTGGAAAAGAAATCCTATTCAGTTTCTATCGGAATACAGAACTTCTTGTGAACAATGTCCTTACTGAATTCGATTCAACACATCAGTTCAATTCATTGGACATTTCGGAGGTGCAGATCTCCAGGTTCTAGATTTCAGGTGCTCCAAAATTAAAACTTCAAGGGATCAGAGGTCCAAACAAACGCTGTAAACCGCAGTTCTTCTGCATTTGCTCAGCTCGCGTTCACCTTGGTCGAAGACTTGAATATCCCAAACAAAAACATCCATTGTGCAAGTGTGGGATGGTGAGCGTCGTTGCTTGGTGAGATGTGTGCAGCGCTTCTTCATCGTTTACGTTTAAGCTACTTTCTAATACACCATGCTTTAACCTCTCACACCAAACCTTGCTTGCTGGGAGCCGTTTGCGCTCGCTGTAAAAAAATGTGCCACAGCAAGGCAACAAACCAGCACAGGGTTAAAAACAAAGACTGGGAAATAAACTTTAAGGGGCAGCTTATAAATCGTCTCGGGGCGTTCAACTTGTTGCTTGCAAAGGAATGTGGGGGAGGGGGGGGACCCCGCCCCCAAGAGTTGCCCCCCCCCCCCTTCAAGTGCCACCCTCCAAAGAGGCCACGCCCCCTCCCCCGGACCCCCTGAAGAGAAAAGTTGCCACGGTCCCTCCAACAGTCAAGAGCTTATGAACTAAACTTGGATACATATAAATTCAAACACATTATTAGGTATCAGTCAGCTATGTGATCCATACTCATGTAACAATCTTTGCAGTCCCCATTCTGATGGCATGTTTCGTCCCAAAATGTACATGCATCAGAACAAATAACAAACACATGCTCTCATCTTTAGCAGGGCGCCCACTCAACTCCAGGTTGTCCTCAAAAAAGACTTTCTATGCAAAAAAACACCTGCAACACTTACATGTTTAAAGCAGGAAAGCCTTGGTGTTGGAGGGGGGTCCTACCATATATATATATATATGCTTACCCCCGCTCCATGAACTATCTTTGTGGTACATGTGCATATCGATTACCACCTGAGCACGTGTGGTGCTCTAATCGCCCGACTGAGCCCACGTGTGCCTCGTGAACAGCTTCTTCGGGCTAGACCTGGCCTACGATCTGCCGCCACACGTGGTCGTCACCGGGTCCACGGCTGCACGCCCCTCCAGCACGCGACGCACGGAGACCAGCAAGTGGGAATCGAATCGTCCTGCCTTGTCTTTTTCGTTGTTTTTTGATCTTGTTCCCAAAGAAACCCGAGTTTTTTAATGGTCATTTTTTGGCATTGGACTTGTGGGTTGTGGTTTGTCTTGGAGTTCGGGTGTCCACGTCAAACCCAAGCGGATATTCTTTGGACGGCCTTTCCAACAATCATGGCTTACCCTCTTTCCAATCATGGAAGTGGACAGGTTCCGCAAAAGGAAAGCTTTCATTCCATGATTGACTGGCGGGTGAGTGAACACTTCGTTTGCTCGTTGGTAAGCAGTTGTTGGGAGGGTAGCAGCTCATGAATGCGGACCCCGGAGCAATACACCTGTCATTCACGTTGATATTCTACACCCTACTGTGGATGGACAACATCCTGCACCGCTTTGAAACCATGGTTGCAACCAAGGTTTGTTTGCATTTACATCAGAAACCAGGGGGGGTTCTTGGGTGGTGCCTAAGAGGATTTCGCAACCATCCGCATCACTCAGCTGGGGTTGATGGGTCTGGAGCCTCAGGAGACCTCCGACTCACGGCTCAACGCCTGGCTCACGGAGATGAAGCAACGACAGCTGCGCTTGGTCTACGTGACCACGGGCGTTTTGGCCGAGAGAGAGGGGGCGAGAGGGGGCGAGAGGGGGCGAGAGGGGGCGAGAGGGGGCGAGAGGGGGCGAGAGGGGGCGAGAGGGGGCGAGAGGGGGCGAGAGGGGGCGAGAGGGAAGAGGGGGCGAGAGGGGGATCATTTTTCCGCGTAAGGGTGTGAGTGTAGGGTAGTTTTCTGGAATGAAGACTTGTTGGAAAGAGTGGGGAAGGTTCCGTGTTGTAACCTAGTTTCTCAAATGCCAAGGCCATCGCCCAAGTCCCAAGTCGCAACTTGGGCCAATGCCGGAGAGGTCTTCTGTCGGGGCCTTTCTTGTGCTGGGACGGATCTGTCCCAGTTTTCATCGGTGTCCGCGAGGGCAACAGCCTTTCGACTGGAAGCCTTTTGCTCGGGTTTTGGCCTTGGTTTCGGTCAAATACATGGGGGACCCTTAGCAAATGGTTAACCGGACTCACGCTGGCCTCATGCTTAGGACCATTCTATTTAATTTCAGTTTTGGGCCTCGTTTACTTGGTTTCCTCCATTATGTCGGATTTTGAGAGGAGTTGTAGGTTTTTGTATGTCCCTGTATTTTCCAAAAAGACGAAAAGTGGGGGGAACGATGAAACCAACAACAGGTCGACATGGGGAGGACCATAGTGCCTGCAGAACCATACAGCGCTTCATATTGCGGTGCCGTTTGGAGGGTGGCTTTCCTATGTGACTTCCCCCACGTTGGGGTGGGTGGGAGTGGTGCAGGTTAGGGGGCGTTTGTGGGATACCCATGCAGGGTTTCTGAAGCATTGTGAATTAACATTGTTCTCCATGGCAAACACCTAGTGCAAGTTAAACTAACATTTCGGGGATCATGTTGGTGGTAAACGAAGAGTCTGATTGCTTGTCTGTCCAATCCACTCAGGAAGTGAGACAGCGCTTTTACACGTCAACTTTCACGAAACTGCTCCTACCACCGCCCACCACCCCCAAAACACACCGCCCACAAACGCACCGTTTCGGTCTATTTCGTCTCACCCCAGGTGTGTGTCGGAAGGGGAGGTTAGGCGTCCCGCTCGCAGGCAGCGTGCAGGTGCTGGAGCCCCTTCAGGTGAAGGTGCCTTGTTTGGGCGGTCGATCGCATGCAACCTGGGGGTGACGAGGTCCACCAATGTCAGTCAAGCAGGTCCTTTGTTGGGGGGGGTTCTTCGTTTGGGATTTGGATTTAGTTGAACACATTGCAGATGAAGGTCCTTTACTTGTAGGATTCTCAATGCAGTTGGGGGAATTGCAGTACTGGCACTTAGCGCCTTTACATGTTTGGGCTGCTCGAAATCAATCTTCAACCATTATGCCAGATGGTAGGGGCGCCCCTTCTTGTAGTGGTGTACGGATTGCGGATCAGTATTAGGGATCCCAGTATCTGAACAATCCAGCTTGCGGGGTTCTTTGCTTCAGCCTGGTGAATTGCGCTGATGAGCGCAAACTTGGAAGGCCGCAACAATCACGTCGCCCCTATGATCGTCAATTTGGTGTTGTTGATGATGATGATGATGATGATGATGATGATTATTATGATGATGATAATGATTGCTTTCAAGATGACATTGTTTTCACATTGTGAAATTCTGATACGCCCCTGCAGATCAAGAGAGGGGACCCAACATGACCCAACAAACCCAGCCATTGTTGGAGAAATCTCCTTTGTGAGGAAGCCCTGTTTATGTCCGTGACAACTTGCATGGGGGTAGCCACACCTATGAAAGACATGCTGGTTCCTGGTGCAGACTCAAGTTGTTCTTATAGCTTCCAAGTTGTGTCTTGTTGATGGCGGGCTGATCCAACCGGGAAAGCTGAAAGCGGCGCAGCCAGACCGGTCGAGTTCAGCCTCCCGACTAGGGATATGTTGAAGGGAGAGGTGTTTCCAGCCAACAACAGAGAGCCTCCTGGCAAGGACGGAACCATGGTTGTTGTTGGGAAACATTTTACATTTTTGCTCATTGTGGTTTAGTGGGAAATCCCCACTTAACTGCTAGAATTAAAATGTTTGCTCCGCGTCCAACGTCAACCAAGGAACCCAGGTTCCAGAGTGGAAGGGACAATTTCCTTCCAAAACCGTCGGCGAGGCTCCAGCCGCGTTTCGCTGGCATGCAAGACCATGCCACGGTCAAACCATCCGCTTCTGCTTAAGCAGGCAACCACTGAATAGGGAAATTGAACATCATTGATGAGGATTCCTACTCAGGAAAGCGTGACCATGGCCTACAGGCTATGGCACATCTGAGGAGAACCTTGAGGCTTCGCCGCTTTGGGCTGCCCTGCCCTTTTAAAGGCAAGAGGCGTGCACTTTTTCCGTTGCTCATAGGGAACTCTGAAAACGGCTGGCGTCCTTTGCATAGGTGGCCTGTTTCGGTGGCAGGTTGGTTTCCCAGCGGAACCCATCTTTTACCAAAAAGGCGCCTATGATTCCAACCACTAGTAACACGGAGAAGGCGGTTGCAGGGGGATGGAGCACGTCATTGCAACCCTAGGCGGCTTTTTGGGGACAGTTTGGTTGAACAAGGCGCCTTTGATTCCAACCATTTTGGTCGACACTGCCACTGGGTTTTGGACCTCTGGGAGGCTAAAAGGCCCGAATCAAACATCAAACATGGAGCTTGGGGGTGGACAAGAGGCCCTGTGACTTGGGAGGGCAAAGGGAGAAACTGAGGTCCACGCTGTTCCCCGTAGGGCTTGTCAATATTAGTTGTTCCCCTTTGAACCACCATTTAGGAGTGCATTTTTTGAGGATCAGGCACTATGGAGGGGGCAGAGGGTCGGCTGTTCTTACGACCTCCTTCTTGCATGTAATTCCGAATTTCAGTTTGGTACCTGCAAAAGGACCAAGGGTGTTTCACGCTTGTTATTGCCCATCATTTGGGAATGGTGGGGGTTGGTGGGGGGTGGGGTCCTCTGTTTTGGCTCTTGCACTCCGATTTTAGGGTTTCACTCAGATGTTGAGGCGCTCTATGAGGGCCTCCGGGCGCTGAAGAACGTGGCGGTTTGCTGGTCCCTCAAAGAGGAGCAGCAGCAGCAATTGGGAGGCGTTGGCTCCGTCAGCTCTCGTCAACGTCTAGCTGCTTACCCAGAGGGCGGTTCGGGTCCTTGCGAACCAGAGGCCCGGTTCAGCTTAGGTTTTAGGGAGTTTCGAGTTGGTTTGGTAGTTGGGTTTCCACTTAACCCACACGTTAAGCCTTCAGCAGGGGATCTGAGAAAGGCCCAGTAACTAAAGGGTTGTGGGCTGCTTGAAAACCACATGGCAGTCGCTGAAGTTTGAACGGGGGTGCGCAGGTGTCAGTCTTTGTTTCCATATTAAGCAAGGTGCCTTTTTGGGTACCATTCTTTGAGCCACAGCCAGGTTCACTTTTGATGATGTCCGACTCGTGTCTAGTTGTTCTGCCTTTTGTGTGGTGACCATTTTATGTCTTCGCCCTTAACCAACATGGCGATGGTAAGGAATCAAATCTCTAGGTGGGTTGAACTGTGGCACTGTGAGGTTGCACAAAGTGTCGACGATTCTGACTTACCTTGAAGAAACACGCTTGATTTTATACACGGCTCTCTATGGACCAGAATCACAGGCAATGTAGCAACCAATGGTGTAGGAACCCAGGCACATCAGTTCAAGTCCAAAAAGTGCTGTCAAAACCGGCAGGGCGGTGCGTTTAGAGGGTGCAAGGTGATTGTGGGGAGCCTTACGCTTTGGTAGTGGCAAACTGGGTCCAAAATAGGCATACGTCTGAGGGCCATAGAACGCAGCCACACTCGCCCCTACCAAAAACCATGATGTCCAGCGGAGTTGCCAGTAAGCACGGGTCACTGAGCATCACTTCACATCGGCGACACAATCGTGATGCCACCCAAAGGAACCCAACCCTTTGGGCGGTTCAGTTTGTGTTGAGACAAACCCCACAGTAACTGTCAGCGTCAACGATACGGGCGTGTCCTGGCGGGCGCCCTGGTTTTTTCGATTGATTGATTTGGCCGGAAAGACCACTTTTTGCGAGGGTTCCCACTAGAAACCAAGTCATAAAACATATTTCTCAAAATTGTGGTCCTTATGACAGATCTGGCAGCTGCAGCAGGCAGCCAAATCAATCTGCCCCCCCCCACCCCCAACACATCCGCAGATATCCGCTGCAGGGGCGCAAGCGACAAGCTTCGCTTTGGACAAGCTTTGGTGTCCTTATGGTTTCTCTTTTCCATACCAAACAAAACTGGTGTCTCCTTCAATGTTACATTTTGGGGAAACATCCGAATATATGATTTCAGACCCAGGGTGGTTTTCCTCTTGGTTTCCCTTTGATCCCCCCAAACAATTGGATCAAGCCATGCGTCAGGCCTGGAGAGTCTGCCCGCGCACTTCTTCATGGCCAAGTGGCTGCCCCAGGCGCGGTTTCAGTGATTCGTCCAAGACCATCTGAGCCTAGGTCCCCCAGTAGTCGTGCCCTTTCTCACCGTTCCCCTATTGAAATAGACAGAGAAAAGTTGGTGCCCTTTTTAAAACCTCTCTATTGGAGGACCATCTAAGCAGGTGTCTTTCAAGAAGAATACCAGAGGGGAGGAAAACAAGAAACGCCAAGACCTCCTACCCACTGCAAGCAGACTCAATCAATCAAAGGCAGACTCCATCAAGCACTTTGAGCAAAGTCCATTTCCGCCCGCCGATCTGTGCCGGCCAACCCGCTTTGCCAGCTGAAGCCGTCCGGAAATGTCGAGCAGTGCAAAGCGACCTTGGCGCCCCTCACCTTCAGGAGCGCACGCAGACTAGGTCCCCCAGCTATTGGTGCCCTTTTACCGCTTCTTTTTTTTTGGGGAAAGTTCCCTGTTAAACTAGACCACCGAAAAACAGTAATGAAAAAATCGGGTTCCCTTATTCTAAGCTCTCTACTAAAACACCTGGCAGAAGAAGACTCCGAGGACAGCAAACCCAAGCAGAGCCCAAACCGCATCCCGGGCACCCAGAGGCTGAGCTGCCCAGATCTTTGGGCATGTGTCGAAATAGGGATGTGCTTCCACTTGCCAAGACTATTTTCCCTTGTTGGTGTTTAAGGGAATTAATCACTACTGGACATATTTTTTCCAGGGCTCTTAACCAATGGAAGTGTGTCCCAGCATATCTTCAGTGCCTTATAATGAAGGGCGCCTGATGTGTTTGGAAATGGATCATAGAATCATAGCACAACAAAATGAATCGAGGGCACTGAGCAGAAGCTGGTCCTTGGTTTCAACCAGCCTGGCCAACCTTAAGGGTTCCTATCACCTGTCGCCTCAAAGCAGGTTCTTCTTTTGCGCCAGGGCGAGGCGATGCAGCTGCCTGAGGTTGCGGTGGTTGTGACCCTTGGCGAACCCAGCACACGTCAGCTCCCCATTTTTACGGTAGCTTCTGAGACTTTGTGGCACAGAGTGAATTTTGAATGCTCATGTTTCACACAAAGCCGTCCAAGGTTTCTGACATGGAGTGTTTTTGGGTTTCGGGTTTCATATTTAAACAGCAAAGCGGGCAGGATATGACGCCGGCAGGTTGCACAGCTTAGAGTTGTTTTGCTCGCTCTCAGAGTCATCTGGCAAAGATGCTTTGTTTGGTTGCGAAAAGAGGCCCTGCCCTGGTGGGTTTCCCGTCTTAGTCCGTGTCCAAAAGGTGACTAAAACACGGGGGGAGCATCCTCGGCTGAGGACGCACTGCGGCTTTGGGGGGCTCAATGAGACCATCGCCGCCGGGAAGCCGCGGCTTGCTTCGCACAGAGTGGTCTAGGGATCGAGCCTGTGGCTGGCCGCTAGTCGAGCGTGCGGCTTGTTTCGTGGGACAGACATGGCCCCTTTGAAGCCTTCGCAAACCGATGCCCAAAATCCGAGGTTGCGGTTGTTTAATTCCGCAGGTGTTGCCAGGGTGCCACGTTTGTCCGGTTCGGCAGATTCTGGTCGGTGGTGCCACGGTTTTCCAGTTCTGGGCTAGGACCATCCACGAGCTCACCGATCGATGCAGGTCCTTTCTTGGGTTGGCAGCTTGCCCAGACCCGTACGGTTCTGCGAGAAGAAAACACACCCATCTTCTCAAACGCACATTGTCGAAGCGGCAACCCTCTGGTCCCCCAACTTCAAAGTTGGACGTGAAATTGTTAATGAAGCCTGCGGAGAAATAACACCCAGTTTGGATGTCACAGCGCTCTTCGCCAACATTGAAGTTGAGGGGGCTAGCATGGAGAAGGTACTCTGAGCGTGTGGTGTGTTTTTTAAAACCCGGTATAGAGCTGGGTTTGGTCGAAGGGAACCGCAGAAGAACTTTCTTGTGCCATTCTGAAACGGACAGCCAAGGAGACTCGGGACTCGGGAAGGTTCTCCGGCGATGCTTTGCTTGTAGCCTCCAACCCCTTCATCAACAAGCATAGAAGTAGTTAACTCGAATTAAATATGAAACAACCCCCACCCCTTGAAACGTATTTAAACCACAAGAGACGAACCCCAAACCCACCCCCTACAGCGACCAATCCCCCAGTCGAATTAATCATTAAACACACACCCCAACCCCAACCCCACCACTCGTGATGAAAGGCTGATGTCCCACAACTAGCCCATAGGGCTTCATACCGGGTATGGCCCCATATATTCTGTCTTTGAGTGACGTTTTGACCACCCAAAAAGGGACATGCTGTGGATGGACGAAATCCTGCACCACCAAACACACCCTGAACATGAGTCCCTTGTATATACCAACCAACGTAATGATTTCATTCCCATGGCATCTCGTGGTGCGTTTGGATTTCTCGGATATCCACACTGCTTCTCCCCAACCGGTCGGTCATATGGGGGGGTTGATTCATATTGCACGTGACCAGACCGGTCACTTCTCCCGACCACGCAACGAAGCCTCCGGTCCCACCAGGCTGTGGGTAACCAATGAAATCCCATGGGGGTTTTCGGTGCCATTTTAGAACCTATGGGTGCACCCGTTTTAGAACCTATTTTAGTGGTTGGATTGAATCGGACATCCACTGTTTGGATTGGGATGTCCACTCAGGGTACGATTTGGATTTCGCCAGCCACAGCCATTTGGCTTTCTCCCCAAACTGGGTTTGACTCATCGCCATTTTTGGGGTGCACCCGTTTTAGAACCCATGTTGGTGTGGATTGGGATGTTCACATTAGCCATTTTTGGGGTGCACCACTTGGGATTTCGACAGCCATCGCCAGTCCAAGCCGTCGTTTCCGAGGATGGTGGCGCTGCCCTTCCGCGCCGACCAGCCGAAGAACGCGGAGCTCGCCAAGGCCCGCGGCATGGCCGAGGTGCTGCAGCCCAGGCCGGGCGGGGGCCGGGGAGGGGGGGCGGAACGGGGCCGGGGGGAAGGGGAAAAAGACCCAGGCGCCCGTTGTGGCGCTTTTTTTTTGGGGGGTGGGGGATGTTGAAAGAAGTAAAATATATTTCATAACAACTTACCAAAATCAAAAATATAGGTTTATATTTCAAATATTAAATAAGGTTAATACATTATTCATATTCATTAACCTTATCTAATTCCTTGAAAATAATTTTACTTCATTGAAATATTATATAAGGTTAAGAAGTTATTCTACATATTACCCTTATACAATTTTATGTAAAATATTTATTAATAAAAATAATGTTAATTTTATTCTGCCTGTTTCATTTCTAAATTTATTTTATGCTTATTTGTTTTATTTTGTTGTATTTCTTTATACTAGTTTTACTAGTAAAACTTCCTTGAACATATAATCAATATTCCTTGAAACTAAATCTAGAAATCCACATCATAAATCTTACAATAAAATTAAATTGTAAGGTTTATGGTGTAATTTATAATTTAAGTTCAGGATAATAATTTAATTGATTTGTCGTACTTATTTCATACATCATTTTAAAAATAATATTAATATCTCTCACTGTATTTTTAACATTAAACTTTTTACTTTCAATACATAATTTGATATTTTCTTTAACATCCTCTCCTTTCTCTTGACTATAACACAACATCCATAATATATCATCCATCATTTCATATTTGTTCTTACTGATGTTAAGAAACTGTTTAACATAATCGTAAGGTGGTAATTTATTTGCAGTTAGAAATATTAAGATGTCATCTTCAACATTTCTATTATTTCTTCTTTTTTTTCTCAACACACAATTGATTATAGCTTGGTTATCTCTCCAGGTTTTACAATTTTCGCATATATCTTCTTCATCCATTGAATAATCAGTAATATTATTTATTATTCCATTAGGTAAATTTAATTTATACAATTCCATATTTTCTTTTTTAAAGTGGCAACAATCATAGCATTTCTTATTAATATACTTATTGATTTCAATACCGTTCATTTTCTCACTAATATATTAAGTCACTATTTCCTTAAGTCATTTTCAAAGAATGAATATAAACTTAAATTATTAACAAAATATTACAAAACATAAATCTTACAATGTGTTTTTATTGTAAGGTTTATGGGTTAAAAGAATAGTCAGGCAATATGTCTTCAAATATGTAATCTACATATTTACCTATATCATCTTCATCTATATATTTGATATTGTCTTTTCCTATTGAATAAATATATTCCCAGAAAAAACAAATTCACTAATAGACATACTTCATATTTAGTGTTGTAGTAATACCATATACTATATTCAGTTACTCTAAATTCGTTCAAGCCTTCATTTATTTTATCTTTGTCTAATAAATGCCAGTCAATCCATTCAAACACATAACGGTATTTTTGACAAATGCTTTATATGATTTAATTGCGTTTATTCCTCCAAACCTCCTAATTAAATCTATATTACTAAAGATTTCATCAATTTCATTTTCAATTGACTTTCTGGAAATCTTCTGGTAAAAGTGTATAGGAAATCTTGCTTGGTGTCGCATAAAGAATTTTAATTGTAATTGAAACTTTGTAAATCCCTTATCCTTATGTTCTTCAAGAAAAAACGTTTCAAGGTCTCTTGTTATACAGCATTGATTGCAATATACATTATATTCACTTATTTTATTACATAGATTGGCGGGTAATAACTTATACAATGTTATATTAACATCATTCTTTGTACTTTTACAGCATTCGCACTTGTTATAGTTAAACAACATTTCACTATAATATATTAAGTCATTATTTCCTTAAGTCATGTTTAACGAAGTACATGAGATATTTTTGTTTTTGTATTTCTATAAGTCTTTCATATCCTCTGACCACTCCGTCAAAACTAAACACATAATTTACGGAACTTTCACCTGCTAATTCACAAGTTTTTATTAATTCATTAAAATCTTTTTTCAACTGCGTCTCATCGTGCTCTAATTCAAGGCATGATTTAAACCCTTCATAAAAGTATTTCTTGTTAGTTTTAAAGTATTTAACATCTAGCAAAGCATATTTATCTCTTTCATCTTCATAGTGTTATTTTACCTTTCTCATTTCTTTTATTAATTCTATTCGTTCTTTTATTTCTGCGTGTGTCTTCATTACTACATTAAGTCATCATCTCTTTAATTCTCCAATGATGATGACTATGTCATCATATTATTCTACTTTCAATAGAATAATGACCATAAGCAAGTGAGTTCATTGTATTTGTCCAGTATCTTTTATTTTCATAACTATTCAAACTAATCTTTGTTGTTCTAATACTATAAATTTTATGGTTTTTACTTCTAATACTATTGAATGATTTATGTATAACTTCATTAGTTTGTAAAACCTTATCATATTCTTTATATGTCAGTTGCCTCCTTACTACGTGCTTTGCTGTGCCCTTGCATTTCTTATGTTCTTTTTCTTCTCCATAGATTTGAAAAGCGTAACACTTAGGACGAAGTCCAATAAACCCTGTAATAATTTTGCTACTACATTCATCCTTAAATTTACCAAGAACTTTTTTATTAGTAGTATCATAGCATTTATGATAAATAGGATAATCTGAAAAATCCATTTCATCTTTAATATCATGAAGATCTTTATAAATGTCATCAGTCTTAGTATGAAATACAAAACTATCAGTGTCAGTATAAACCATTCTAATATTATCTCCGTATTTAGGTTTCATAACATCATAATAAAACTTATACATATGTTGCTTACTCAAATCTAAAATACTCATTCCAATGAATATAGGTTTATCTAATTTCAATTGTGCTTTTTGTTTCTCAACTCCTACTAAATTATCGCTGATAATATGACTATGTTTAAATGATGGATTATCAACACATTTCATGAATCTTGTTTCATCACTCACTATTTCAAAATCTAAGTGGTTCCTTTTGTCTTCCATCGTTTTTCCGAACACGGCATTATTCATTAATTTGTAAACATCTTTCTCAAAATCATTGTCGGCATTCTTTCGTTTCTCAGTGTTAAATTCAATGTAAGGTTTTAATATCTCTTTCTGACTGAATTTTATTGCTCTGTGTATTTTCTTTAGTTTCAATCCGTGTTCTAAATAGAACTGTAAAGTTCTAATATGGACTACATACTTTTCTTTGTCTTTTAAATTCAATATTAATTTATTTGTTTTTTCATCTTTAGGTTTTTTCTTATTCAGTATTTCATAAATTTCAACTTGTTTATCTGATAACATATCTGCTTTAACATTCATAATTTCAGGTGCCATTGGATAGTCATTGTGTAAATCGTGTAGTTCTTTAGGGTATTCTAAATCAACTTCTAAGATGTATCCAGTATTACCATTAGCATAGTTTAAAATATCATCTTCTGTTATTTTAGTATCCCACTTTAAATTTTTGTATGGCAGTTTTTGTATCATTGCTAATCCATATAAGTTATTAGCATCAAAATAGTTAATATAACTACTTTCTTTGCTTTCATCAAAATCATCGCCCATATAAATATTATTTGCCTCTACTTTCTTACAGGCAGTCTGTGTCATCCCACCACGAAGTCCGGTCTCTATCATTTCATACATATCTTGGTCATAAACTAAATCTATTTCAACACCAGTTAATTTTAACATGGCATCAAAAGCAAAATTAGGCAGTGTGTAATAATATACTGGATCTAAACCGTAATCTTGAATACACACATCTCTAAAATTTTCAAAAATATCAGTTAATAATAAAACATCTGTTTTCAAATACAAATCGTGATATTCACCCATGTTTTTAATCTTAAAGTGTTTCCATATTACTTTTGCTTTTTCATAGTCTTCATCCGTTATATTATCCTCACTTAATCTACTGTAAAACATATCTTTAGTTGGTAAACTTTCATCTTCAAACTTTTCTATTGAATTCATATAGTCATACGGATAAACTCCCTTCTCTGTTAATAAATCCAAACATTTTTCACTTTTAATAATATCATTATTTTTACTAAATCTAAAATTGTTCTGCCAGTTGTCTTTTATTATCCATTTTCTTTTATCTTTATCATCTGTGTTATCATATTTTGTCAATGATACTAATTTATCTAAAGAAGCAGTTATAAAACTAAAACTGTCCTTAACACTTAAACAATCAAAACCGATATTAATAAACTTTTCACTGTTCTGTGCTATTACATCTATTTTCTTCTGATTACTTAACTTATCAGCATTTTGAATAATTAAATGTCCATCATAACTTTTCATATTATGAAAAAAACACTGGTATTTTAAAATATTTATGACAAAAGTTTAAATTACAAATGCTATGAGCACAACCCCTATATTTACCTGTGAAATGGCAATGGTCACGAACCTTCTTATATTTCTCTGCTTCCTTTTCATTCTTATAATCATATCTAAACGCGTCACCACAAATAAAACAATGAGTTTCATTTTTAAAGTCTTTCTTATTTTCATCACTCATATCAATTTCTTTTTTTTCTTTCATTTTGTCTTTAATGTCTTCTCTTATCTCATTAATTTTACTACAAAAAACATTAACGGCATCACTTCCTCGATACAAATATTCATAATTAGAACCATCAACTGAATTAACCATATTCAACATAAAACCACAGGGTTTATGTTCTTGATAATTGTAAGTTTTAATACTTTCATCTGTTGGTTTATCAACTTCCTCAGTTAAACATTCAAAGTCAGCATAAATAACAAATGGACACCTTAACTTTTTAAAGTGATGCTTGAATCTCATTTTTTCCTGGTTTAGGCATTTTTATTTGTTGACCTTCAACTTCCATACAACCCTTGTCATAGTGTTTCTTTAGGAGTTCGGGAGTTCCAAACCCATTTTGACAATATTTACAGAGAAACGAAGCACTACAAAATTTACTTTTCTGACTGTTAATAAGTCTGCTCATATGCTTAATATAGACATAATGACTA